CTGGCTATTTAAAACATTAGCTGAATTTGAATGAGGGACATTGCTAAAAAACAAAGGTAATTTGCAAGAAGTGCAAAAGGTCCTCTTGCTCTCCAAACATTCAGGGGTCAATTCTTCAAAGCAAAGTTATAAAGAAAATGTTGTACTTGTTTGTTTTATAACTAGTTCCTCATTATATGTGCTCTAGTACTGGGCAAGATTTACATTCAAGTTGTAAACATTTCCTATCTAATCTGAACTTAACCAAAAGCTCAGGGGGTACTAGCACTGAGAGCTTGTTCTGTCCTTTGTGTTACATCTGCACTTCAGAACTGAAACACTAATTCAATAAAATGGGACTGAATAAATCAGAATAATTAGTGCTGCACATTCACTAGCCAACATGTTTCACATATAATTTTAAACTGCCTTCACACTACCACAGTCTTCTGTTGGTGCAGTTTATGCATAATGTAGTACAGCTGCCACAAATGTGGTGGAGAAACAGGGATGAACCCCCCCCCCAAAAAAAAAACCCAAAAAACTTCAAGCCTGGTGTGAGCTAAAGCTACCTATTTAATGTTTAGTCTGCATTTATTAGAACTGAAGAAACTTCTCCCCATCATGTTGCCTACCTGTAAGTTAGCCCCGTGCATTGCTCTGTGCATGTTCTTTTACCACATCTGAAGTAATCTTGGTGTCAGTCACTAAGTTCTCTCAGTCTGTGACCAGTTTTCTTTTTAAGATAGTCTTCATAGATGTTATGGCTAGAAAGGACCTCGAAGATCATCAAGTCCAGCCCTGTCCCAGGGGCAGGAAGTCAGCTGGTGTTCAAAGGATCCCAGCAAGATAAGCATCCAAATGCTTCTTGAATGAGTCCAGAGTAGGTGCCTGCACCACTTCTGGAGGGAGTCTATTCCAAGTCTTGGGGGTTTGGACAGTAAAGAAATATTTCCTTATGTCGAGCCTAAACTGGTCTTGGACGAGTCTATGACCGTTTGGGTCCTTGTTTTTCCTTGGGGCACTCTGGTGAACAGGCATTCCCCCAGATTCTGATGTACACCCATTAAATACATATAAAGCAGCCACCAGGTCCCCCTGTGCCCGTGCTTTTCCAGGATAAAGAGTCCCATGGCTCTCAGCCTCTTTTCATAAGGCCTATTATCTTGCCTTCTGATCATGTATGTGGCTCTCCTCTGGACTCTCTCAAGCTTCTTCACATCCTTCTTGAATTGCAGAGCCCAGAATTCAGTGCAGTACTCCAGCTGCAGCCTCACCAAGGCCAAGTACAGCAGAAGGATGACATCCTGAGATTTACTTGAGAAGCATTTATGGATGCAAGCCAGAGAATTGTTTGCTTTGCCTGCTGCAACATTGCGCTGGTGGCTCACTTTCATCTTGTGGTCAATCATGACCCCCAAGTCTTTCAGCCGTGGTGCTAGCAAGTGTAAATGACGGAAAGAGTAACAGCTATCTGCAGTCCCTCATGGGATCAAGGCAAATGATATCAGCCAACTGAGGCCTGATCCAGAGTTCTTTGGAAAGACTCCTAATCATTTCAGTAGGCTTTAGATCAGGGCCTGAGTCAGGAGACTTCAGAAGGGAGAAGAGGAAGAAGTTGCAATTAGCATAAACTATTTTTTGCCTGTCCTCTAAAAACAGCAAGATCAACAAGTACTACAACAAGCAGCAAGATGGAGATACTACATAGTAAAGCTTCAGTGTATCTTCCTATTTTATACTATCCCTAGGTCAAGGAAGTGCAACACAATACACCCATACAGAAACAAAACGATTTGAATATTTTTCTTCCCAACCAGCTAAAATTTAGCAAGTCTTTTTCCTTACATATTTATTCTTTACACTAGCAAATAGCAAGTCACAAGTTGTCCCAGAGACACAGGGTTGACCAAGGGGTAAGCCTCGTCCAGAGGCAGACCACAGTTGAAAGTAAAAGAAGAGAAACCCCTACCTGTTTCAGGGGTCCAGAGAAGCGAGGAGGTGCGCCAGGGAAAACCGCCCGAGCGGTTTATCAGCTGCACCTATCTCCAGCTGCAGGTGGGTGATGTCACGAAGAGATATCACCTGGTGAAGATAAAAACCGGCCCTGTGAGCCTGGGCGGGGGGGTGTGGACGCTGAGTGTTGGAGGAGCAGCGGAGAACCGCCGAGCGGAGCACGTCCAGCTGCTGCGGCAGATCTGTGCCAGGGAAGACCGGCGGAGATCAAAGGGGCCGGCAGCGAAGCCAACAGCGGTAGCACCAGCGGGAGCTGCCGAAGATCTCCACACCAGGGAAGACTGGTGAAGATCAAAGGGGTCAGCAGTTAAGCCAGCAGTGGTGATGGCCGCAGGTGCTGCAGGGGATCCCCACGCTGGGGAAGACCAGCGGGGGAATCAGACAAGCCAGCAGGGAGGCTGGCAATGGCAGCAAGAAAAGCCAGTGAGGAAGCTCTGGCCAGAAGTGGCAAGTGCCGCGACTTTAGGGAAGAGGTGGATCCTGGAGGGGATAAGAGAGACCCCAGCCAGGGTGAAGGCGTGGGCCCCGACCCTGGGGACGCATCAGTCTAGGGGCATTAGGGGCAAAGGGAGCATGGGACTCTCTCCGCAGTTGCCCCTCTTTTCTTTGCTTTTTCTCTTTGTCTCTTTCTTCTTGCGTTTCTTGTCATTATTTTTTTTCTTTTCACATTGGGTTGTTCCTGTGGCATGGGGCTTCTCCAGTGGTGAGCATTCTGTTCATGCTTTTCTTTTTTAGTTAGATCTATTCTGTTCCCCGTCTAGAGCAGGGTAGCCTACCACACTATACCAGGCTCAGGGAATTAGAGACCCCGTTTGGAGATGGAAGTCCATGTGAGAATGCGGTAACAACCAACGGCGTCCGTCAGGGAACGTGCAGGGCATTGAGAGGGATAGTACCGAAGGCAGAGCATCACCAGACCCTCCGGCTCTGGCTAGAGCCCAAGGTGCCGCTCTACAGAGGGGGACACGTGGGAACGAAGGAAAACATCAAAAGGGGCCATTCACAGAAGATCCTGAGGCTTGTCTCGTAAGTTGGCATATGGCCGGGGTGTAGGGAAGGTTGGAGCCCCGTATCCACCAAGACACGTGACAACTCTGGAGGCATCCTCTGAGGGGACCCCCTCCACTGAAGAACCATCCGAAGTCGTGGCAGGAGAGCTTTGGGGATACCCAGAAGGTCATCAAGGAGCCCTCCAGGGTCTACATGAGAGTCCTAGGCTAGTAAGACCAGTTTCCCGGGCAAAGGCAGCGCAGGATCAGATCATCGAGCAGAGACGGGCACACAAGCATTTCAAGGGACCTACAATATAATAGGCCCTCTTAGGGATCATGTATTTGAGAGGTGTGACGTTAGAAGGAAGATACGGTGTTGCTCTTTCCATCCAACACCTTATAATTCACCACTACATCTAACCCAGAGTGAACATGGTTCAAGGGAACATGTTATTTCACCTTCACTAATGCAAAGCCAGCTTAACCCTCTTGCAGGTACATTGTACTTCAAATCCATTCAAAGTCTAGTGCCTGACCACAAAAAGATCTGTACCCAATCAGCTGTTTTTTCCCCACATCAAATTACAGCAACAACAGATGAATTACAACTGACCAAACTGAATGGATTATGGGCAATCAAATAAACACTCTCATCTGAACTTAACAAAACCTAATTTGGACTTTATAGAGGGGACCATGACTGTTGGCTATTTTACTCCTGCCAGAATACTAATATTAAAAATAAAACAGGTAACATTGAAACATCTTCAACTAGGCTTTCTTTTTAAATAGCAAGAACTATTATGGGTCAACATACCTTTGAAAACAGCGTAAGTTCAAACTACAAAAACAACTGGATTTGAAAACAGACAATTTCTTTTATATGACAGAAGCAGTCTTTATCACATCATTGTGGAAGAAGGGGAAGACAATATGACAAGAGCACAAAACTTTGAGCCTCTCTCCAGTAACATTTCTGTGATATATAATGCACTCCCATTAGTAACAACACAATGAAAATAAATATTTAACACCCCAGTTACAAAAGCTACAAAATGTTATATTTCAGTGTGAACAGACTTCTGCATTTATCATCACTATTAGACACTGACTTCTTTAGAGTAACACCATTTATGTTGCAATAATTAAGCCAATGTTTCTGTTATAAATCCATCTTTCCACAGCAGCAGAAGAAACAGAGAAAATAAATGCTGCTATATCCGACTTCTAAATATGAAATCTAAGTCACAGAATGGTTTAAATCAGCAGAACTGAAAAAAAATGAAGCAAGAGTTGCACTTTTGTATTGTATTTTCTTAACAGCTTTCTTTGAAAGCTGTCGTCATGGCTAAGTTCAAAATTATATTTTTGCTATTGCTAAAATAACCTGTGTTATTAATTTATGCCCAGCCACTGAGTTTTGTACACCAACTAATTCCATGAGAAAGCTATTACTGACTGCCTCCCTGTGGTAGGTAAGTGCCTTCTTAAAAGTCAGGGTTGCGATACCATATTATATTATTAACATCCTTACACTGTTAAACTGTAAGATGTTAATAAACTCCTGCTTTATCCTGCTTCTACTCCTGAAATCAGTGGAAACAAGATTTCCTATGAAATATTAATTTGGCTTTTAGTCTGGAAGAGGAGAGCATTTTAAAGTTATTTTCAGTGATCATACAAATAAGAATCTGGTAAATATCACGCCAAATTAGCTTGTGTATTTTTTATTTTAACAAGGAAGGAAAACAATCAAAACATTGTTTGGTAAATATTCATGACTCTGCAACTTTGAATTACACTGAAGCAGCCCTACATGATATTAAAAAAAGCTCTTCAAGTAAGTTAACTAATTTTGAGTGAATAAAAGCTTCTATATAAGCAGTATGTAGGATTTCCAACTATGCAGTTCAAGCATAAGACAGTTATTTGATCTTACAATAAGTAGCTTTGTAGAGTTAGCACCAAAGGATGCCAAAGGATGTTCGGCCTATAAATGCTAGCCTAAGTTTCTGGCACAGGAAAGGTTTTCATCTGATCCAGACGCTTATTTTCTTCAAATTGTGTCTGTGAATATTGACTTTTTTTTTTAAACTCTCATTTCATGTATTAGTGAGGTGACAGTCACAATTAAATGCTATTTCATGTTGCGTACAATTCGCCTACAATGGTTCGTCTTCATTTCTCCCAAGGCTTGTTCCAGTTGCTGAATCAGATGGAGAAGTGTAGCAGGATCAGTTTGTAACACTTTGGTAGTCTGATCACCATTCTGATTAAGGTGCAGCTTTACAGTTACAGCTGGTTTAATCTGTTGTCTCAGACTTCTACTGGCAAGCTGTATGGGAGATGATTATGAGAGGGGGATATGGAAGCAGTAAGTGTTACAAAGAACAAAACACATTAGGAACTCTAGTACAGGTTTTCCTCGCTGTATGAGATACATTATGCATTCTCAGAAAACTGTGTATAACTCACATTTGCATAAAGGGAACCCAGTTTATAAAGGTAACAAATAGGGATACATTCTCAAAGCAGCAACAAAAGGAGGGAGTGAGGCTGGGGTTAGGGAAGGGATGTGGGGGGCAGGGAGAAGTGCAGCTGCATCCAGGTCTGCAGCAGGGAGCAAAGTGGAGGGAACTGTCAGTGGGTACGGGGTGCGCAGCTCTTGCTGGTACGTGCAACCCAGGAGGGCTGTGGGTTGGGGGACTGCGCCCGGCTCTTCCCAGGGGGCACGTGCCCCCTCAGATCTGCATGCAGGACGAGAGCAAGCTGCCATCCGCCCAGAACACCAGGAAGAGCCCTGTGCCACTGCTGGCCCCAGCCTGCAGGGACAGCCTGCTCTCATCCCACACACAGATCCGGGGACACATGCCCCGCTGTGAAGAGCCCAGCACAGCCCCACCAGTCCTCCCAGGGTGCGTGTAGCAGGAAGAGCCACACTGCCCCCCAACCCGCAGCCACTGACAGTTCCCTCCGCTTCGCTCCCTGCTGAAGCCCCAGAAGCAGCCGATGCCACCTGCCTGGAGCCAATGGGCTGTGCCACGACCCTCCCCCAACAGACTTACCTGGCATATAACGAGTTTTGTGTGTAAAAAAAAGGGTCATTGCAAAGGAGTGAATTCGCATATACAGAACCCACATAAAGCAAGGGAAACATATCACATTAAGAATTCACAACATTTCTGCAATATTATTCAAAACCGAAACTGAGTTTTGAACACACACATGCATGTCTAGTTTCATTATTAAAAATCGCTGATATTAAATGCTTCAATGTATTTACTGCTTCAATTAAATAATTTCATTTTATGCCAAAGATTTAAAAAACAATTAAGTAGTCCAAACAAAGTTATCCCTTGATTTAGTATACAAATTTAAACTGCAGTGAATTCAAACTGCATTAAAACAAACACTGAAATAGCTTTGCAATTTACCATATCTATTTCATAGCAGCCTGTGCTATCAATTTATGCAACAAAGATCTAATTAAACATAAATTATATTACCTGCACATCTAATCTCCATTCAAGGCTATGATAACTGGGTAGTTCTGGTGTCAGTTCACCAAGAATGTTTCTGATCTCCTTTCTATGGTCAAGGTAAAGCTGAAGCAATAACTTGTTCAAGTCCTCTGAGAATCCCAGAACATGCACAGAGTCTTGGAAGTCTATTTCAGAAATCTAGAAAGTAATGGTTTAGAGCTAAAAAAAGAATGACCTGGGTACTGTTTTACTTGCTCTTCAATACAATATTTGTCATTTTCTTCATTTTTAGGTATTAAAGCAATTAATAATGCATTATTACAAATTGTGTAGCATCATTAACATCAGATAAATTATAATCATTTGATTCAATTTTAATACATTGATACGTTCATTTGTTTTGGCTGTAATTTCTGAACTGATGCAACTCTAATTCAAAAAGTTCTTCTCACTTGGATTATCCCAGTTCAGTAGGATCGTCCTAGATCATCTATATTTTTTATTATGATGCAGTTCTCATTTTCTACAACTTTGGAAGGGGTCGTGTGCTTGAAGGAAACTGCTGTTGTTTTGCACTAGAGCTCCACAGGAAGCTCTGTTCAACTAAAAGGCCAGCCTACCTGCGGTTAAGTACGATGTGACCGTTTTGTTTGTTTGTTTTTACTTTCAGGCATTTGCAATATTCAGATATCCCTGGACAGCAGTAGTAAGCAACCTTTCCAATGGGAAAACGGTTTATTTATCATACAATTTCCGTTTATTCTTTTCATATCTGCCAATATCCATGCTACCTTTTGACAATATCTGTTTAGAATTTCACAAGCTAAGCAACCCAAACCACATGTTGCCTGGGTCAGATATAAGAAATGCCTTAAGAATACCATATATACCGAACATAATCCAATAAAACGTTGGTTTACACTACTCCAGGCTCTCTTGAAACCAATGTCCAAGTGCTCTCTCTCAAAAAATGTAACTTTCCCTTTACTTTCAACTGGACAGTTTATCCTTGAAGCATACTACATTGTTTCCCCCCCATCTTAAATTGTTGCATCCATTTGCTTAGTACTGTCAACATGGGCTGCTGACAGATGTGTCAAGTGAGTGCGGGGCAGAACCAAAACAGCGCTTTGCTGGAAGAGGATTCACATCAGTTTGACCCAGCTCACCAGCATCTGTATAGCTTGTGCGCTTCAGCGGGGCTTTTTGGCATTTTTATCCAATAGCCGATTCAATTAGTTAACTAGTTTAATTAGTCAAACTGAGGCAATTTCTCTTCTGGGCATGTGCTATACTTGGCATGGGGGTGTGCCAAACTGAAAGTAAAGCACCGTTTTGTTTTTTCCACATCTATAAGCACCCATGCTGTAAAGTTTTGTTTCAGAATCACTGAAATGCAGATGTTAAGAGAAGCAGACTAAGTTGTATTTATACCTTCTCTGTTCTACCCCCCCAACACCAAAGTGGTTTGTTGACTTGAACCCATGCCAAAGCATTTGCAGAATTAACACAGAAGCTTTCCATTTCCCCCCGCCAGTTTCTACTCTCAAATCCACACCCCTTCACTTACTACCCTGAATGTATCCTTACCATGAGCTTAGAGCTCTCAGTGAGAAGATACGTTAGTCCTTCGACTCCATGTTGAACAACATCACTTGTAACGTTGAGTTTTCCTGAAAAGAGGACAGATTAGCACTTTGTCACTGATCTACCCAGACTAAAAAAAGTTAAATATTAAATAAAATATTAAAAAATTAAATAAAACAGCAGAAGAGTCTTAATACTCTGGGTGATTTGAGGTAGACTATGTACCTTGAAAGAACCCCAACCTGTACACTTATTACTAAATGGATGGTAACTGGGCTGACAGCAAAGTGACCACTGTTAGTGCCATTCGGAGAGGGAAGCCTGCATTGAAGGGACACCCAGGCAAAACTCAAGCTCTCTTATCTCCACATACTCATCACTAGCAACACCGAGTGCTGCCGCAGCTCACAGACAAGGGGGCTTTGTTTCTCAAGGAGTTTGTTACCCGGTTTTCCCTTAGACACAGCCCCATTAAGTCTTCCCCTCACTGCAGACACCCTCCCCTCCCTACGTCTGCAGAAGAAGGAGGGGAGCAGGGTCTCTTTGACCAGTGAGCCGCGGAGGCCGGGACTGTC